CTTAAACACTCGCACATGTCACTGTGCTGGGATCAATTTAAATTATACCACATTAAAATCAAGATTCAAACCTTTTCAATGACAAACAAAACAAAATGTCTGCAACTCAGGGTTCGCTGTGCCACTCTGCTTCCTGCATTACCCCTGAAAGATGAGGCTCTTCATCATTGGTCTCTGCTTCACATGCAGCTCACAGCGAGCCGGCTCTTATGTAACCAGCAGCCATTGTTCTGTGCTGGCATGGGGGGCCGGGGGGGGGGCTGAGGGTTTAAAGCATGAGGAGGCAGAAATAAAGCCTACAGTGGGATTTATAGTTAAACTTTAGGGATTTATCACTACACACAGTGCTTCATTACTCTATGTGCATGGACGTAATTTGGGGGGGGGGGGGGGGGGCACGTCCCCACCACTTTGTCCAAAGACAAGTTTTGACCCCTGCACTTTTTACCATCCCAAAACAATATTACGCTATATTAAATTGACACCCATGACTGTTGAGCTCTAGGACCAAGCAGAAAACAACCGTTTGAGTTGAAGATAACCCCCCCCCCATGCCCCCCCACCCACCCACCCGTGTCCCCCCCACTTCTAAAGTGCAAATTACATCCATGCTATGTGTAATTTACTGATGAGTGTTCCTGACAAACAGAAGCTCGTGTTGGGGGGGGGGGGGGGGGGGGGGGGTATGAAATGAGCACAAGAGAACGTCTGATTCAGAACAGTGACGGGATTAGAAGCAGGGAACACCCACAGCTGCACAACATGACTCGAAGTCCGCCCGATCTGATTAAACTCCTGAGTAGTTTATGAGCTTATAAGAAGGCTCGCCTCTGATTTCTCTCTGTAAATGATTCTCAAACGACTGCAGTCGCACCGAGTCACGTGTGTACATGTAGCAGTCCGACGCTGGCCGAGTCTCAAAGCTGAAACCTGATGGGAACAGCGTGAACAAATCAATAAACAAACACCAACAAACAACATTTTGTCTTGTTCCTCTGAATCGACCGACAGCGTCTCTGAAACACGTGTGTGTGTGTGCGTGTGCGTGTGCGTGTGTGTGTGTGTGGGTTGCAGCTATCCTGAAACACATGAATCCTCACACAGACCGGTCCAAACCGGTCTGGTTTTTTTCACCGAGCACGTGTCTGACTAAACGAACCCTCTCAGCGGCTCAGACCTGGGCTCTAGAGGACGTTTTCTGGCTGTGTGCACTTGCAGGAATAAAGAACATTTAAACTTCTTGCTTCCTCATTTCGAACATGTTGACGTGGATGTTTTTCCTCTTACGGAGCACTTTTTTGTGTTTTTTTTTTTTTACCCTGGAGCGTAGAGCTGCAGCTTAACCCCCTCCTTCCTCACAGAAAACAGGAAGGTCTGGTCAGCGGCAGTGTGGCCCTCCGCTCCTCCTGTGAGCTACAAGCTAGCATCCTGGATCTCTTCTCCTAAAATCTGAAAAACATCAGATATGTCAATAAACATATTTACTTTTCTCTGTTACCAATGCCTAAAACCCAAAACATTTGCAGGTTTTTAAAGCTTCCTGGATGTTTTCCTTGTACGTTTATTCTACGTGAAAACCGGCTGTAACTGAGACACCATCCCTGGAGTGCGTTTCAGTATTATTTCTGCTTCACCCTCAGCTCATAAACAAGTTTACCCATCCCCTCTCCGTCCTCACTCACCCCATGCCCTTTCCCCTCATTTCTCCGGCTCCTCCCATCACCTAAATTTTAGTCGACACAGACAATCTTCTTTTCATTCTTCCCATGTTCAACCAAACATCCTGGAGCTCAACACTGATGCCTGGAAACGGAGTAACGTGAAGGTCAGCTGAGGAAAAACACGGTCTCCTTTACACCGTTTCACCACCGTTCACTCCCTGCAGATCACCAGCACACTGTGTTCACATCAGTGAGCAGCTCAGCCGAACTCTGCCTGCACGTGATCAACACACACACACACACACACAGAGAGGACCAGACGGTGGGACTAGAATCTACAGATCAGATTTATGGAACCATGTCTAAATAAAGACAAACAGCTGCTAAATACTAAACCACACCTTTTATTCCTGGAAGCAAACGGTTTTCATTAGAGGGCACGTGCTCAGCTTCAAGTCCAAACGTTTCTGACGCTCAGCCAGAGTTCGCTCGCCCTCCAGGGTTGCTAAAGGTTGCTGTGTAGCAAGACTTATTTATGCCTTGTTGTGGAAAAACTAGTCGTCTCCTCATAGATTTCTTCTGCTTTGCTATTTTTGGCAGCCAAATGTTTCGGATCAGCGAGCACATTTCAATATCGGACAAAGATAACCCGAGCAAATACAAAATGTTGTTTAGAAATACTTCATTTTTATAGAAACAGGAGCTGTTCCAGCCAACCTGGTGTACAAGTAATCGCCCCGAAACCCAAATACAAAGTTCACTTGTTATTTTAATGCATTTGCAGTGGTCTCTGGTATAAATTAATGCCTTGCCAGTGGGCCTCCGTGGGAAAACAAGCTCTGGCGCTCTTAGTCTGATCAGATGGGAGCATAAAAAAGTAGGAATTAGAGTGCTTCTTGCTTTTATTTCCTGATATGCTAATGATTGGCTAATGACAACGTAACTCTTCCACAGCCTCCAATGTTTTATATCCACTAATAACACAAGCCTGAAAGAGTTCTGCCATGTTGCTGATGCTAACGGTTGGCTTCTACTAGCCAAAATGTGCTCTGCTCTTTCTTGGAGGCTTAATAGGGCTTAATCAACAATTCCCTTCCTGTCAGGAACCAAGATGGCCGAGTCCATGAAAGCTAATTTTCAGTGTGACCATGGACGTAGTTTTGACTTTAGAAGTGGGGGGACGCGACCGGCAGGACCAGGGGGGTCTTTACAGTAAGTATACAGCAAATATGTGTAAAACTACAGGCTCTTTTATGCAACGTCAGGTATGCAGAACTGTCAAGTACACAGGTGGCAGGAACGTCCAATGACACGTTAGCAAGTATCAGCAGAGCCAATAGATGAGCTTATGGACAGTTCTAATGGGAAACAGGCTTTAACACAAGTGGTTGTTTTCCACTTAGTCATAGTGCTCAACCAGTGTATTTAATTAAGCATAATGTTGTTTTTGGCTGGTAAAAAGTGCAGAGGACATAAATTTACCTGGAAAAAAGTTGACTTGCCCCCCCCCCCCCCAACTACATCCATGAGTGTGACATAAATCTGTTCGGTTTTTTTAATCCAAGCGTTTCCTCGTCTATTTTTATCAACGGCTAATGCAGGAAATACACTATTTTCATGTTTAGCTCAAACTCAAACTCAGAGTGATGATTATATTTGTAAAATAGTGAAAAATATAAAATAAAAAAATGTGTCTCAGTGAACTTGCTCTTTAAGAACCGGTTGTAACTCCCAGAAGATATGTGTGCTTATTAAAGCAGTAATGAATTATCTCCCGGTTTTCTTTACAAAATAGTGATAATTCAGCGAGTGGTCCTAAAGAAGCCCCAGACCATCACACTACCACCACCATGTCTGAGCGTAGCTATGATGCTTTAGTGTTAGCTTTACTGCAGATGGAATGGGACACACACCTTCCAAATGGTTCCACGTTTGTTGCATCAGAACACAAAAACACTTTCCCAAAAGCTGCTGCTTAGCAAGAGTCCGAATCGTCTTTGTTGTTGCTTTTGGTCCTCAGAGGTTTTGACCTTGGAACTCTCCCATGGAGGCCATTTTGAACTCCACTAAGAACAACATCCGTGTATAAAAGTGACATGTATGTGATAACAACAGTCTCGTGACCCTACTAATCCCAGCAAAAGATCATTTGATTGTTAAGTTGATTTGAAGAAACAGAACAGGCGCCCACATGCAGAGATCCAGGCACGTGAAGCAGAGCGGTGGAGCTTGTTCCTGCAATCATCCGCAGCAGCAGGAAGGATGTTTACCTCTTTAGGGAGTAAAAAGATCCAGAGGCGACACATTAAATGAGCTGGATAAATAATAAAAACAGTAAAGATGTTTACGAGTCAGAGGTAGTTTCATCATCTAAAATACTTCCATTTAACTCATTAGACAACAACCCGCAATCCCGTCGGTCTGTTTCAGAATCAGAATCAGAAGGTTTTATTGCCATATGTGTGCCAAGTCACAACATTAGGAAATTGCTGCAGTATTTTGGTGCAGAAGGTAAGATAGAAAAAAATTAATTGAGAGATAAGCAAATATAAGAACTAATAAAACACTCATGATAAAATTATTCATGTAAAAAGTGGCAAGAATTAGAGAAGCAGCTATCTACCCCGTGTAGGTATTTATCCGAGTGTTTGCTGAATGTTTCAAGCACAGCATCGGGTCACGTGACTGGGACCGAACGACTTGGGTGGGCTGCCCTAGGATTTTCATTCAAAAGTCCAACTGCAGAGGGGAAGAAACTGTTTTTGTGGCGAGAGGTTCTGGTCCGAATGGATCTGAGCCTTCTGCCAGATGGGAGCGAGTCGAAGAGACTGTCCAGGGTGACACGAGTCAGCTATCATCCGACCTGCACGCCTCAGTGTCCTAGAGGTGTACAGGTCCTGTATGGAGGGGAGTTTGCAGCTTACTGCAACTTACAAAACTTACAAGTCGGTTATTTTCCCAAATGTTAAAACTTTAGATTAAAAATATGACTTCACAGGAAAATTATTAATGCAAAAAAAGTTACTATTAGGTCCATGCAACCCTGGTTCTGTAGAGGATCCAAGCAAAGTTGCTGCTTTTTGTGAAAAGTCTGTTTTTACTGTAACTCAGTGAAGGTCAACAACAGCTGGGAATTTCTTCAAAGCACAGGCAGCACCAGGAAGGCGTTGTTTTTAGCTCAAATCACAGCTATTCCCAGGAATTTAGCACTCTTTCTGTTGCCTGCAAAAAGTCAACTTCAGACAAACAACATGCTCTTTAATGCCTTACATAGAAGAACGCACTGTTTCTTTTTTATTTTCTGGAAATCAAAAATAACTGCAATGGACTGGCTCTCTGTCCAGGGTGTACCCCGCCTGAATGCCCATTGACCGCTGGAGATAGGCACCAGCCCCCCCGCGACCCTGCGTGGACACAGCGGGTTCAGACAATGGATGGATGGATGGAAATCAAAAATAAGGTCAGAACAGGAAAAAATACATGTTCTCATGAGTTTGTGAGCATCACATTATTCTACGAAAGGTTATTATCTGTTATGCAAATACAGAGAAAGTAAATTGAGAGAGATATAATGTGATCACAAATAAATTAAATCAATGAAAGAAAGAGTGAAAATCTCTACGGTTCAAAGGTTTAAAGGTCTTTTGTGTTCTAGAACAATCACTAAGCACATTAGCTGTTTGTATTCCAGTCAAAACACGTCTAATCAAAGCGGTTTCACGTTTATTTAAACATCGTCCTGGTAGAAAAGCATACTGTGTTGTTTTGCTGTGCTGCAATGGTGAATCAGAGAATTGTACATTTTGTACTCGACCTAAACACTTCCAAACTGAAAACGGCGTCAGGATAAAAAATAAAAAAAATAAAATTCCGTAGGTTTTAGCAACTCGAGTACATGAATCCACCAAAAAGGAGGGTTTGAGATTTAAATTAGAACAATTCTTCATGTTTGTTCTTTTATTTTTCTAGGAAGATATCAAAAAGGACGCATCTGATTGGCCAGTTCCTGTTGTGGGCGGGGTTTATGCGTAGCTACAAATACACTGCTCTCCTCTATCACGGTACACACCCAGAGCCAAAACGATTCAAACACGTACAGTAAAACACAGACGGATCCTACACGGACTTCTACAGGTAATGTATACATTATTACGATCGTATTATTAGCTAGTAGCTTAGGTAAATGGGTTGAATGGGGAAAACGGAGTGTCATTTGGCACGTGCGCTTGTGCCTTACGCAGTTACTGCTGCCGGTTTTAACAAAACACTGGCAGACTGGTGTCACTTGTTTAGCACACGATATTTTCTTGTCTTTAACTGTGATGTATAACAAGAACAGTCGTTTTCTAATAATTATTTCCTCATTTACACGATGATTAACGAGCGTGTCAAAACGCCGGCTCACTTCCGGTATGACAAATTAAAACAACCTAACTTTCTTTTTACCAATTTCAGTGCGAATTTTCTTTAGTTTAAATACAGATTCTGTTTCATATTAATATTGAATGAAATTATTTACAAAATATCTTAAATTCAAAACTGTGTTAATGGTTTTTAAATTATTCGAACTGTTATTGTGAAGGTCTTGCGGCGTTTCCGCCGGCTGTGTAAGCCGGTAGAGACGTTTCATCATCTGCTAAACCCGCTCAACGGGAACACCTTGTGGACTGATTATCGCTTTCCATGCTGTCTCAGCTTTAACCAGCTCCTTATATACTCTAACAATAACGTGTAAACGGCAGTTATGTGTTTTATTTCACAATTTAGCTCCTCAGTCGTTAACGAGGTCAAATACGGTCTGTTGCTTGCAGCAACGCCTGTCTAGCCTCTGTTCTAGGATCAAACCACCAGATAATCCGGATGAAAATTATGTAGACACCTGTAGCTTTTTAATCCACCTTTCTGCCAGGTATGTTCTCACCCAGTAACAAAACCATATTCTCAGTGTCCCTCCTTTGTCCCCCAGATCAGATTAAATCATGAGTAAGGACACAGAGATCGACATGGAGGAGGTGAAGCTCAATGAGGTGGACCCTGAGAAGCAGCCCATGACCGGAGACGGTCCACCGGTGAGTGAGAAGAACGGCAGCGTGAAGCTGAAGGTCCCTGAGGATGAGGTCACATTCACCGGCCTATCCAAGGATGAGCTGATGAAGGTCGCGGGCACTCCAGGGTAACCGCTCACAACCATCACACAACCAAAGTGTGTGTGTGTGTGTGTGTGTGCCCATCTAAACACTTCCTGTTGTTGGTACAGGTGGGTGCGAACCCGCTGGGTGCTGCTGGTCCTGTTCTGGTTGGGCTGGGTCGGCATGCTGGCTGGAGCGATTGTAATCATTGTGCAGGCCCCTCGCTGCAAACCCATCCCGGAGATGAACTGGTGGAACGAAGGACCTCTGTATCAGATCCCTGACCTTGATGCCTTTTCTGAAGGAATGGAAGGTAAAGTGCGTTTGGTTTTAGAGTAAACGACCCAGTCTTCTGTTTTTGTGTCAGGATTCAGAGGAAGTGTGGGCTGATTCATTCGAGGGGAGTCTTGTGACTGTGTGTGGAGTTGCCTCCGCTCAGTATCGCCTGTATCAGCCAGCTTGATACTAAACTGCTGACTTGGCTGGCACTGAATGACTTAACGGCCAAAGGGACACGAAAGAAGAGCGAGTCGTCTCTTTAGACCTCCTAATCAGATCCGAGTTGAAGTTGAGCAACCTTGTACTTTAGTACGCGTGCTTCCTTAACACCTTATTACTTTATAATAAAGGTGTATTATCTTTAATGAGGGGACGGTAGGAAGGACGGAATGTTCTGAGCTCGGAGTGAATTAAGGGGGAACGCTTGTTCCCAGCAGGCTTTGGGAAGGACTCCAAAACCCACACGTGACCTGATTGTTCCGGCATAAAAAGGACCTCCTTGTGCTCCAGTGGCCAGCAGAGGGTGTGGATGCTCGTTCACATCACACACTCCTGCTCTAAGTCAATACTGGTCTCTAAAACAAAGAAAGCTGCTCCGTTCACCCCTAATGTCCACTCGTAGCCTTTTAGACCCTGCTGCTTCTCACACGTCAGCTCTAGGTCTCATTGTTGTTTGTTTGTTTGTTGTTTTGCCCGATGTGAAATTCTTACTGGCGTGGAACATCCATCGACGTGTTATTTGATTTGTCCTGCATTAGGCCTGGAAGCTAAGTTGGACCACCTGACCCAGATGAAGGTTAAAGGGCTGGTTCTGGGTCCGTTCCACACCGTCCAGGCTGATGAGCCCAACACGCTGGAGCTGACACAGATCAACCCCACCCAGGGGACGGAGAAAGCCTTGGTGTCTGTGCTGGCCAAGGCCCACAAGAAGGGTGGGTTGTTTTCCTTTAAAGGCCCAGCTTTGGTGAAATTCTACCCCCCCCCCCCCCCCCAGACGTTTACTGTTGGTTTATTCTGTTAAAGGTATTTCTGTGGTGCTTGACCTGACGCCCAACTACCGGGGATCCGCCCCCTGGTTCACCGACAATAACAACGATATCGTGGACAAAGTCAAGGTGAGACACCGTTGTGAGTAGGGATGGGTACCGAATTCGTTACTTTTTAAGGTATCGACCGAATTCCATAGTACCGACCGAGCACCGATTCACGTCATTTGAAACGGTGCCTCGTTTCGGTACCCGTCCTTCATAACGAGAACTTGCCTAGACGGCTGCGCATGTGCAAGAGCGTTATGTCGTGGGTCGCTGCGAGCCAGTTGTAAACAGAGCAGCATGGTAGAAAGAACGCACGCTAAAGCTTGGGTCCACTTCACTAAATGTGATTGGTAACTGGGTGATGATGAAACCAGCGACAATGATCTAAGTGAGACATCCTCATCTTAATCTGCTCCAGTAGGTAAATAAAATGTTTAAGATAACGTTAGCTTGATATGTTAGCTTCCATTGCTACCATTTTTATCAGCTAATGGTGCGTTCGCTTTCTCCTCGGAAATTCTAACTTCCCAGTAGGAAAAATCAAATGAAAAAGGACGGCAAAAGGAATGAAGATACACAGTAAATTTAGTTCACAGTAAAGATGTTTGCTTCAGTTTAATTATCAGCTTATAAAACTACAAGGACGATGTTAAAATACAAACAGTTGTATGTTATTTATCGTGATATTTATCAAATATGGTTATATATTGAGAAAAATATATATTTAATTATAAAAGAGAATTAAAATATTAAACAATCAAAAGTATCTAAAATTGGTACCGTTAAGTACCGGTATCGATTCCTAGGTACCGGGAATTAGTACCGAATTGATTCACATGTCAAAGGTACCCATCCCTAGGTGTGATGGATAACTGGTATAATCTAGTGGAGCTGCTGTGGCTGAAATGCTCGTATCCTCTTCAGGCTGCAGCGGAGTACTGGATGAATTTGGGCGTCGATGGCATCAAGGTGTCCGGTTTCTCTCTCGCCTCAAACTTCACCGACTGGCCCAAACTGCAGGCCGCCGTCCAAGGGAACCGCACCGAGGACACAAAGAAAAGGTGAGCGCCTCTTCCTCCTCTTAGCCGCGTGAGCAGTCGGTGCAGAAAATCCGGTTTGTGTCGTTTAGAAGAATGTTTGGAGGCTGAGGCCAGCACGCTGTTGGAAGTTTGGGTTGGCTCGTTTTTAGGCAGCTCGGTCTGAGAATCGCTGGAATAACAGCTGACCGGGATCAAAGGCATTCCACTGGCTGAGGTTAAACGGTTGGTCAGCCAGAAAAAACAACAGGCCAGTCATGGTTTTCCATCATCAGGGTGCTGCGACACCTAGTGGAGAAGCGTTTAAAAGTTTCTCTCTCTCTTTGTAAATAACCAACGGAGCATTTCCTTGTCTCAGAGCGCTGATGGGTGTGGTCCAAGGTCTTTCAGCCACACAGGTGTCTCAGCTGGTCAACTCCACTGGTGCGGACCTCATCCTTCCTGACCTCCTCACCAGCACCGGCGACAGTAAGTTTTCTGTTAGTCAACGCCCTTTTCGTCTTGAACGTGAATTCTGACTCACTTCCTGCGGTCGTCCAGATGTGCAGCGCATCAGAGACGTGGACGCTCTTCACTCCCAGCAGAGAAGTGTGGCGTGGGGCGTCGGTGCCAGCAAACTGGAGCGTCTGTCTAAACTGGCGACGTCTCCGAGCCTGATCCGTCTGTACCAGCTGCTGCTGTTCACGTTACCCGGAACGCCGGTGTTCACCTACGGAGATGAAATCGGCCTTCAGGCGGGAGATGTAAGCCAGGAACATTTAACAGTCGTGCAGCTAGTCCACCATATGACCTTCATTTGTCCTCCAGGGCTCAGAAAGTCCTAAAATGATTTGGGACTTGGATAAAGAACCCTCCAAAGAAGCTCCCGTCGACGAAGCAGCAGAGGTAAGACTAGATTAGACGACCACTGCTCTGCTCTCAGGTATCCGCAGCATGTTAAAGTCTCCTCCCCTCACGTGAACAGGCCAATCGGACGGAGCACATAGCTGTCAGGACGTGGTTTAAATCCCTCAGTGACCTCCGAGGCAAAGAGCGTTCCCTTCTCCACGGAGACTACTACCCTCTCTCCTCCTCCGCCTCATCCCTCGCGTTCCTCCGTGTCTGGGACCAGAGTGAAAGATACATCACAGCCTTTAATTTGGGAACGCAGCCCTTAGAACTAAAGCTTAGCCTGTCTTCAGGTGAGTCACGGCTCTGCGCTAACACCTGGCTAACCTGCTGTAGCCATCTTCTTTTTATTAATCCGGCTGATTTTGTGTCTGCAGATGAAGTGAAGCTACCGGACGTAGCTAAAGTGAAACTGACCACTGATAAAGAGTTGGAGGAAGACTCTTTAGTGAGCCTGGCCTCGCTCACATTAGGACCAGAGCAGGCGGTGCTCCTGCAGTTTCCTTATTCGGGCTGAAGATGGCGCCAGATGAAGGAACGGGCCCCGCAGCTCAGATCAGTTGTCATGAAAAAGCTCAGTAGCAGTGTCGATCCATAGGAACAAGGCCACATTTTATTTTTTTACGGCGCTGTAACTGTGTTGGGAAAGCAGGAGGGAAAAACTGTTCAGAAACCTTTTAAAGTGTGACGTGTTTTCCTGTTTTTAAGGTGGCGTTGTCCGACTCGCTGTTCAGACGTGTGACACATTCCTCTGTTCGTAGGGCATTCCTCTAGCAGCTTTCATTATTGTTATTTAAAAGTTTCCATGGACGGGTTTCCTCCCACAAATGTACGTTTTACTCTGGGCTCGAGGAGAACAGCGCTGAACACCAATAAACTGGTCTGGACTGACTTCTGTGAGCTCTCTCTCTTTTTAAACAAAGTTACAAGCGTTGTGTTTGTGTCTGGGCTGGAGATGATCTCAGATGAGATGTTTACTGTTGTTTCGGTGCGTACGGGTGTGTGAAAGTATGTCACAGATGTTGAGAGGAAACGCTGATCTGTGCTATCACCACCCAGTGGTTTCAGAGGCACACCAGGCTACATAAAGAGTAGCTTTTCTGTTATAGCCCATTTCTAAATGCTTGTCGAGTTCATAACTTTAATTTTTGGGTTTAATGTGTTCGTAAGAAGTAGACTTTTAAACGTGTTTAAAGGAGAATTAAGCAGGTCTCATTTTAAAGTGTTTCCAAGCCAAATTCACCTGATTGTATCTGAAATAACAAAAGCTGTCGGTGACTGAAGCTCAAAGCCTGTAGAGAGGTCGAGTGCCTTCAGTAACTTCATTTTTCTAGACAACTATTGGTCGGTTAGTTACTTTTGTGAATGAATTAACTTCAGAATGTAAGTAAATGTTTAAGTTGTGCATTAAAAGGACTAAAGTTAGCTTTAGCTTTCAGTTAACCACCAAAAAGCGCGAGAAGCTCGGTTACTGAACGTCTTCGATGACGACTGATTTCCTCCCGTCGACCAGAAATCACACTTGTGTTCAAAAATAGATGCTTTATACGGCGGACCCCGATGCACTTTAATTCACATTTGAGCTATTTAAAACTAAAATTAGGTCCTGCATGTGAGCAAAAAGCCTCTTCACAGCGACGACACTTTCACTCCGCCGTGAAGTCGATGTAATAACCTCGGTCGAGAACAGAGTTTACGATTTTTAAGGTCAAAAATTGATTTCATAAATTGGAAATGCATTTGATTTATAGTAATGTTTTCAGGAATGTTTGATTTGGAATTTAAAACTCAGAAATGAAAACTGAGGCTGAACTAACGATGGTGGCACAGGAGTTAAGTGCTCGCCCCGTAATCGGAAGGTTGCAGGTTCGAGCCCCGCTCAGTCTGTCGCTGTCGTTGTGTCCTTGGGCAAGACACTTAACCCCCTTGCCTGTTGGTGGTGGTCGGAGAGACCGGTGGCGCCAGTGCTCGGCAGCCTCGCCTCTGTCAGTGCGCCCCAGGGAAGCTGTGGCTACATCGTAGCTCATCCCCACCAGTGTGTGAATGTGTGTGTGAATGGGTGAATGACTGATTGTGTTGTAAAGCGCCTTGGGGGGTTCCAGGACTCTAGAAGGCGCTATATCAAATACAAGCCATTTACCATTTAATCCAACTTAAACAGGTGAAACCCAAAAAATGAGGATTTGGTGCAAAAGTCTGTTTATGTCGAATCACTTTCCCTCTGTATTTTTGAATTGAATTGAATGCCAGTGACCCAGCTCAGACTGAGAGACCATCTAAAGGCTCAGGAACCCTCTCCAGGTGTTCTGGATCCATTAGCTGATTAGAGCGTGACACTTAGAATCTAGAATATTGGGTTTCCATCAGCTGTAAGCCATAATCATCACAATTATAACGAATAACGGCTGAAATGTCTGGATTTATATGGAATGAGTGTCTCGTAGCAGTTCACCTTTTAAGTTTTACACAATTCTCTCATTTCTCCAGTTTCACCTTGACCAGAGTACAACAGGACAACAGGGATTGACCATTCTAGTGTATGGCATGGCATTAAGTACAAAAGCACAACTTTCATTTATTTATTTATTAGAACTACACGTGTTATCCGGAATTCCTCTAGAAACACCCCATAGAACCACTAGAGGGCATGAAAATGCAAAATAACAACTTTAATTCTACTGACTAAAATTTGGACAACAGGAGGTGTTTAGTGACTTTCAGTCGTTATCTTTGAACTAGAACTAGTTTGGTGAGAATTTAATCAAATAACTGTATTAATTTAAAATTCCAAAAATTTAAAATGGTGGAGTAAATCCGTGGAGGTTACTCAAAGTCAAACGAACAGCAGCAGAAACCCTTCCAGTGTTGGGAATAAATCAAAAATAACTCACAATAATTAGCCCTTAAGTTTGTTCCAGTTAAACAACCGGACGCAAAACTCAAACCACAACTGTGACTAGATCAGGGGCGTGTCCAGGGAGTGGCCTGGGGTGGCACATGCCACCCTTGGAATCTGATTGGCCACCCCAGGTGCCACCACACTAATTTACCTTTAAATAGGCTTTTCATTGTCCACAAAAGGCTTGGGCGTAAAACAAAAAAAGCACAACCATTGGTGCCACCCATGCACAAAATTGTGCCTCACCTGGGCCACCCCATTTTAAAAGATCTGGACACGCCGCTGGACTAGATAGCAAATTAGCTGCAATTACACTTTAAATATCAGGTTTGAAATGTTTCAAAGAGCAACGTAAAAATAGAAAATCTGAATGCGTAAACCACTGAGGTTGCACGGGTACTGAAGCACCTGTGGCTTTTCTGGCTCATCTGAACTCATCCCAGTGTGTTTTATTTTCTTTCTTATGTCGTGTGTGTGTGTGTGTGTGTGTGTGTGTGTGTGTGTGTGTGTGTGTGTGTATGGTTGTTAAAATGCTTTTACAGTGCTGGGGATGGGAGGGAATGTGGGTATGTGGGGTCATTTTAATTTGTAAAGCACTTTAAGTTGCATTTCCTGTATGAATTGTGCTATATAAATAAAGTTTAGGTAACGCTTCATTTTACAGCCCCCTAATTACTAAGTACTTACATGGTAATTACATAGCAAGTTAAAGTGTTTTATTGTGTAATTAAAGTGTATAATTGTAACAAAGTGTCAGTATTGTGTAAAGCAGTATGTATTGGGAATCATTAGTAAAAAATAAAATATAGAATTGAACCCGAGTTACATGGTAATAACTGTTTAAGAACTCAGAAACAATAACTTACTATGTAATTACCATGTAAGTACTTAGTAATTAGGGGACTGTAAAAGGAAGCGTTACCAAATTTTATGATTATTTTATTAGTGGTAGTTAGCCTGTGCAGATGCATACTGATGTTTTATTGGTAGTTAGTGATAAAGATGAAATATTACCTTAGTTCTCATAATTTAATCAGAATCAGAAAAACTTTATTTATCCCCGAGGGAGAATTAAAAAAAATAACAGCAGAGCAGCATGATGTTGGACATACGAACATTGATAAATAGGCAATAAGGAAGTAATAAAGCAGCAAGAAGATGGATAAAACAGAAAAATATGCAAAAAACACTGAGATGGATAAAACACTTTACACAATTAATGATAATTATTCAGACGTAATCCTTGCAATGAGACTTCCTATGAATAAGTTTTTAATGCAAGTTCATCATTTTGAGCTGTTTGTGCCGTTATGATATAAAGTTAAAACACCCTTTTTAATATTTGTGATTTGCAAAGACTTGGGCAAATTGTCATGAGTTGAAATCACAGTATTAATTTCTATCACGCTATAACACACCAGATATCAAGTATAAATAGCATACGCTAATGTTTAAGTGAAAGGTCAAGCTACCATCTGCCTTTCTTGAGTTTTGGAGACGTTTTTCTGTGCGCGAATGTTTTTCCTCGTAGAAAATTGTTCCATTTGTTCTTTGGCGGGGAAGCTCACGTCGCTGCTGCAGCAGCGTTTGTAAAAGGGTCCTTGTGAAGAAACACTGAACAACACAAACACACGGTGAATAAATAACTGTCTACGGCTGATAAACGCTGTACGAACCTACAGAAAAAGAGTCTGTGTGCTAGAAAACTACTAAACAGAGAAAGCTCAGATGTTGTTTTCTACCATTAAAATCATGGATATTGATGTTCCTCTAATATTTAGATTTAAAGACCACATTTACTCTTCATGATCATTCCTGATCGTGTCATGATGGTGAGGTTGAGACGTTCCTTTGATGTGACTAACTACTTGTATTTATCGCAGTAATTTATTGCCAGAGAACCCGCACGATTCTCCTAAAAAGGCAGGTCCAAACCTACACATTTGATAAAAATGTCAAACAGTTCCTCTGACAGGTGAGATTAACTCAGCTCAGTTTCGGGGTCTGAAACAATTCAGTGCCGCTGTTTTACTGTGGCTTCACAGGGGAGGTTTGAAGTTCACAATACCGGGAATCAGAGCCTGTCTCGCCACCTCTGAGCTCACCCCACGCCGCTACGAAACCAAACCACCGCGGTGCACACTCATGACTGGCTCTCAGTCTGAGTCTGACACTGTGGTACATTGACATGAAGACACATGACCTTTCATCAGCGTTCATGGAGCACAGCAGATACAGAAAAAAGCCACTATGGGTAAATTCATTGTTTCATCCCAGTGTTCTAATGTACCAATACAGTTTATGCTTGATTAGTCATGAGCAGATGAGAGAGTTAGGAAGTATAATCACCGCCAAAAGGCAGGTGATTCTTTTGGCTGCATTAACAAACGCCACTGGGTGGGCTTTAAACAAACTCTCAGAAAGTAGTCAGTGACCAACAGCTGATTAACTGTTGCAGCCAACCTGATTCAAGATGGCCACCACAGCCAGTCACGCTACCAAATACAAACATAACTGGTCTGGGTTCGAGACCCACCATCACCTCTTAAAGCTGCAACGGCAAATTTGGAAGACAAATTAGCTTAACACTACTTTTTCATGTCTCCCAACAACGTAGGAGCGTAGTATAGCTTTAAATATATTGTGGAGATTAAAAAACAAATAATTAATAAAGCAGTTGTCTCCACCAATAACACATTTTGGACCAAAAGCAACTTTTGAACCATCTTGTTGGGAGGTTCCCGACTCTGTAATGTCAGAGAATAAAAAACAGCTGGCTGCTACTACTTTAGGACAAACTACCAGATTAGCACTCTCTCATTTCCTCCAGCATCGCAGGTTTCCAGTCCCGGCAGAAGAGTCTCCAGGAAGATACCCGAGGGAAGGGGTGAGTGTTTTTTGCGTTCAAAATTTAGCTTTTTAGCAATTTTTAAACCCCACTCAAGTGTATGGTTATTGTCTCCAGCAATTCTGAAAACAAACTGACGCCCTT